AGGAACACCGGTGCCTAATGGGGCTAAAACGCGGCTTTTAGCGCTAAAAGTGTTTACCGACCGGGGCAGGAGCCGCCAAGGGCGAAAGAAAGATGGTTTTAAAAAGATGTTTTTAACAAACCGGTCACGTTCTCTCAGCAAACAGCCAAGGGCAGGCTCCGAAAATGCCCGGGGAGAGGCAAGTCGGGGGGAAAAGCAGGGGATGGGGATGGGGATGGATAGAGCATCCAGGAGGCTGGAGAGAAGGAGGATGGGGGCGAGCGGGGCAAGGTGACCCCGAGGAGGAGGGAGACAGGGCGGGCAGGGTTCGGGCACCCCCGGCGCGGGTCCCGCGCGGGGGGAACACGCGTTTTGGGGAAGGCACGCGCGGTTCCCTCCGCGGTGCGCGCAGCGTTCCACTCACACAGAAAACACCCCCCCCCCCCTCCCGGATATTTAATTGCCTTAAGGACACGAAGCCGCATCCCTCCATCCCTCCCCCTCGGGCTGGGGTTACTCACAGCACTGCTTCTCGCCGGTCCGGCCCCGCGGGGCCCCGCCGCAGCCCCGGGGAGCCGCCGACATGGCTCCGGCACGGCCGCGGCTCCGCGCCGCATGCAAATGAGATGCAAATCCGCTATGCAAATGAGCGCCGCGCGCGCGGGGAAAAAGGGGGCGGCCGGGGGCGGGGCCGCGCCGCGCGTGCGCTGTATGCAAATGAGGTGGGGGCGTGGGGAGCGCGCCATTGTTATGCAAATGAGATGGGCGGTGCGAATACCCGCAGTGCCCGCCTCTATGCAAATGAGGTGGGCGGTGACGCCCCGCGCCGCGCAAATGAATACTCACAGCCACGCCTCTCTATGCAAATGAGGTGGGCGGTGCTAACCGGCTCTATGCAAATGAGACGCGCGCGGTGATCGCCTCGAGGCAAATCAGGCGGGCGGTGCCGCCCCGCCCTATGCAAATGAGATCCACGTAGCACCCGCCTCTATGCAAATGAACCGGGCTGTGCCGTCGCGGTAACTAAATAAGAGGCGTGGTCGTGTTATGCAAATGACAAGGGGGCGGTGCCTCGCGACATGCAAAGGAGGTGGCCGGCGCTGCAAACGAGAGATATACGCGGTGGCCAAGCCCTATATGCAAATGAGATGGGCGGTGCCGCCGTTGTTACGCAAATGAGACACAGCGCGGTCTATTTTCTGGAGCATAAGTCCTACGGGGAGAGGCTGAGGGAGCTGGGGCTGTTTAGCCTGGAGAAGAGGAGGCTCAGAGGTGACCTCATCACCGTCTATAACCACCTGAAGGAAGTTCCAGCCAGGTGGGGGTTGGTCTCTTCTCTCAGGCACTCAGGACAAGGGGGCACGGGCTTAAGCTCCGCCAGGGGAAATTTAAGTTGGATATCAGGAGAAAATTCTTTACAGAGAGAGTAATCAGGCATTGGAATGGGCTGCCCAGAGAGGTGGGGGATTCACCACCCCTGGAGATTTTTAAACGCAGACTGGACGCGGCACTGAGTGCCATGATCCAGTAAATGGACTGGATTTGGACCAAGGGTTGGACTCGATGATCTCAGAGGTCTTTTCCAACCCAACCGATTCTATGATTCTACGATTCTATGCAAATGAGATGGGCGGTGCCGCCGGGCGCTATGCAAATGAGCCCCTCGCGGTGCCCCGCCCCCCTGTGCGAACCAACCGCCGCCGCCGCCGCCGCCCCCCCCCCCCCCCCCCCCGGGCCCCGCCCCCGGCGCGGTCTCGCGAGAGCGGGCGGGGCGGGCGGGCGGCGGTGCCGGTGCGGGGGCCGCGATGCTGCGGCTGCGCTGCAAGGCCCGCAGCGGGTCCCACGCGCTGCCCGCGCTGTCCCCGCACTCCCCGCTCCGCGACATGCAGGCCGCGCTGGCCGCGCTCACCGGCGTGCCCGCCCCCGCCCAGCGCCTGCTGCTCGGCTTCCCGCCGCGCTCCCTCGACCTCAGCGACGGCGAGCGGCGGCTCGGCGAGCTCGGCATCCACTCGGGTGAGGAAGGGGGAAGAGGGGGGGTGGGGGAGCGGTGTAATTAATGTAATTACGTTAATTAGAGAGGCCGTGGCGCGCACGCCCGTCATCAGCCGGCGGTCGGGCCGGTTCCTGTCCCGGGGAGGTGTCAACACCCGGCTCGGGAGCGTTTCCTGCTCGGGGAGCGCCGGTGGTGCTTTGGCGGCGTCCCGGGGGTCCGGCGGCGGCGGCGCGGGGCTGGAGGGGACGGGACCGGGACACGCCAGGTGAGTCCCCCCGGGGCCGCTGTGCCGCCCCCGGCTGCTTGGATAGAGCTCTTTTCCATCAGGATACTGAGCTGTGGCTGCCCCAGCCCTGCAAGCGTCCAAGGGCAGGTTGGACGGGGCTTGGAACCTGGGCTAGTGGAGGAGGGTGGAACTGGGTGATCTTTTAAGGTCCCTCCCAACCCAAACCATTCCACGGTTCCATGATTCTGTTCTATGACCCTCAGCAACAGCACCACCACCACCACCACAGCTGTGTTGTTGTGTTTTAACAGCAGCTTTAAACTCCACCTGCTTGTGTCCCTCTCACCTCTCCCATGTCCCCTCTGGCAGGTGACACCCTCATAGTCGAGGAGGACACGTCCAAGCCCGAGCCCGACCCGCCTGTGGTGGCCAAGAGAACCATGTCCCACCCGCTCAGGGAGGCCGTGCCCGTGCTGGCCAGGAGGGTGGTCCCAGCAGACAATTCCTGCCTGTTCACCAGCGTGTCCTACGTGGTGGAGGGCGGCGTGTACGACCCCGGCTGCGCCCCGGAGATGCGGAACCTCATCGCCCAGATCGTGGCGAGCGACCCCGAGTCCTACTGCGAGGCCGTGCTGGGCAAAACCAACAGGGAGTACTGTGAGTGGATCAGGAGGGAGGACACCTGGGGGGGGGCCATCGAGGTGTCCATCCTGTCCAAGTTCTACCAGTGCGAGATCTGCGTGGTGGACACGCAGACCGTGCGCATCGACCGCTTCGGGGAGGACGCCGGCTACGCCAAGCGCGTCCTGCTGATCTACGACGGGATCCACTACGACCCCCTGGAGCGCCGGATCCCCGACTCGGACATTCCCCCCCAGACCATCTTCTCCACGAGCGACGACGTGGTGCTGGCGCAGGCCCTGGAGCTGGCGGACGAGGCCCGGAGGAAGAGGCAGTTCACGGACGTGAACCGCTTCGCCCTGCGCTGCATGGTGTGCCAGAAGGGACTCACGGGGCAGCTGGAGGCCAGGGAACACGCCAAGGAGACTGGACACACCAACTTCGGGGAGGTGTGACACGGGCAGCATGAGGATGGTTCCATCAACTACCTCACCGGTCCAGGATCAGATTCTGGATTCCCCCAGATAAGCTGTTTGTAACCATGAAAAAAAAAACAACTCCGTTCGTGATGACAAAAAAAAAAAAAAAAAAAAAAAAAGAGAAAAGCTTGAAAAGCAAAGTAGCAAAGTTAACTTCCTGGTGGCCAGGTTTGGGAATAGGGGATTGGAAATAGGAATCTCCTCGCATAGCAGGTGGTGGATAGGGGCAGCTACACCTCGATTCTTGGAATAACCTTTTGTGTGTGTGGTCTGAGCAGATAGGCACAATCAGGCTCAACACTGGTGTAAAATCCACCTCTGAGTTGCTGAGTGAACCTCTCTTAAGTTTTCCAGGTAATTAATCCAAAGGTTTGGGAAACACACGTAGCAGCATTAGTTACACTAAGAATTAGGCTCTGCACGTGGGAGCACTTCTCAGAGGAGAAGCTGCTCGTGTGGTGCACAGCTTGTGAGAGAAATAGCAAATACAACATCAAAATGCAATTTGTAGTAAAAAGAGGATCTCAGAGCTGCCCTACACCATGTTACTATCAGGAGCAGACTGTAGTTTGTGTGAAGAGAATTTTAGGGAAAGAAGTGGCCTCTAAGCTTTAAGGTAGCCTTCTTTAAATTAATGAGTAGATGGATAAGTGTTGAATAAACCTATTAATCCTCCATAGGTAGTTTTTAGTTGCTTGAAAAAGAATAACTCTCAACCCCCCTGGTGTTTACACTGCATCAGAACGTAGGCATGTTTTCCTGGAATACTTGGTATTCTTCTTCTTAATAATATTGGAAATTCTGGCAAGAGGGAAATAAGTAGTTAGGGAAGCGACTTAATTTGCATCTGTTAAATACATTTAAGCAGACTTTACTTGAGTAGAGCCAGTCATGGCCATAGTGTTACAAAGCTGTTCCAGGTTCCAAATACTGTATTATGAGCACTTTAAGGTTGAGTTCTCACTCTTTGCTGGTAATAAGTTTTGCCCTTTTAAGGCCAGAGTGCTGAGCCAGAAGGGAGGCTTGAAGTTTCTTCATCTGCTTTCTGCCTTAATGTGTTTGTTTTATCACTGGTGACTGTAGAGTAGCAAGACTTTTAATTCTGACAATGAAAGGTGCAGTTGAAATTTCAGAACAAAATAAGCTGTATTTGTACCGTTGAGTATCAGGGAAGATGAAATGGGTTTAATATCTTACCTCACAGTGGGGTTGTGAGGCTTAACTGCAAGTGCTTTTGAGGTCTTTTAAAAGGTGCTGTAAAGGTGCATATTACTGAAGGGGATTTTTTTTTTTTTTCCTTTGAAATGCCTGCAACACATACTTGTTTCTTGAATTTTAAAATATTCTTTGCCTGCCATTTTTCTGTTACTGTCTCGAGTGACCTTCCTTGCACTTTTAAAACGGGGAGCAAGAACGTGCATCTGTCTTTGGACTGAGGCAGAAATAAACCCACTTTCCACGTGGAACCTAAAATCCAGTTTTAAAGGCCCCCATTCCTTAAGGCACCTGACTAAAGTGGTGCAGCAAAACCACCTTTTCTACACAAAAATCATGTTTCACTGAAGTTCTCAGCGAAAGCTCCCGGTTGGATCTTGAAACACAGGAAGGTCTTATTGAAGAAGAAACATAATTACACAAGTGCTTTGCTGAATTAAGGCATGAATAATTAAATATAAAGACTAGAATCACCAAGAGCACTATGGACCAGGTTTGGTTTTAATTCAGTATTAAAATACACATTAGCACTGTTGGAAGTTTCCTGTAGAAAACCATTTAGCTTCCAGTGTTAAACCCCGCTCTGCTTTTAGCCTGTCATTAGGAAAAGAAGAAAAAAAACACCCCCAAACCCAACATTAAAACCAGCCCTCTAGAAGCTGATGCTTAAAAACCTAAAGAAATACCTGCCAGTTCAAAGGAACTTGAAGATTACACTGTGTTATAACTACTTGAGCTGAAATCCTGTCCAGGAGTGAGACCAAGAGACTGCCAGTCCCGAGGTGTGTTCCCAGCTTTCCCATGGAAGCAGTGAGATGCCTTGGGCAAGGAGCTGATCCTCACCCTTTGCCATCTGTAAAATGGACACAAAACCTACCTCAGAGAGGTGCACGAGGTGTCTTTGGGTGTCTTTGAAACAGGAGTGGAAGATCCATATTTATTGTCTGCCATGTTTGCAAACGCATTGACTTCGGGGAGCAACACTTAGATTTTAGCTTTGTGTCCTTGGATGGTTTTCTCAAAGTGTGTAAAAACATCTTTCTTTTGTTGTTGTTGTTTTGGTATTTCTCAGTTGCAGTATTTTTTCAAATTAGCATTCTTTAATCCAGAGTGTTTAGCTTTGCTAGATCATGTTTGCCTTGGAAATCTGCTGACAGAGAGAATCAGTGCCGTTTGAGGGAGACGTGTCACTTATCACTGCTTGGATGTTTTCTTTTGTTGCCTAGAAAATAAAATCTCTTTGCTTAAAAAAAAAAAAAAGAATCTCAACTGAACTGCTGTAATTCATGTCTGTAGAAGTTTATACTGTTACAGGCTGTAACAAGTAACCTCTGGTACTGACTGAGTCAGAAAACCACCTGTGATTTTCCTAAACTGCCCCAAACAAAAATATCTACATTATTTCAAATGTAAGGTCTGGGTAGATTTAAAGTACAACTCCCTTTCTTTCAGGGTTTGTTTTTTTTTTTTAGTACCTTTTAACCAGGATTTGCCTGCCCTTAATGATACCTTTAGGGAATTATCACAAAAATGACATCCTGCTATTAGTGGGATGAACTTCACTCCTACATCTGCACTGAACTGTGATTAAATGTACAGCAAGATGTTAATTAGGGATATTTTAGACTAGAGCTGGTGTGGGACACAGGTACAGGCAGGGAATAGTCTCACCTGGCAAGAGCAGTCTGGAAAGTCTCTATAATACTGACTTATGTCCTTACCCTCATTTCTGTTCTCACACACACTTAAAATAAGCCTTAAATTCCCAGGTTGCCCAGAGGAGCTGTGGCTGCCACATCCCTGGAAGTGTCCAAGGCCAGGTTGGAGCAACCTGGGACAGTGGAAAGTGTTGCTGCCCATGGCAGGGGGTTGGAACTAGATCATATTTAAGGTCCTTTCCAACCCAAACTGTTCTGGGATTCTATGATAAATATCAAGAGATACCTGAGATACCAGGACTCACAGAGAATTTTACATACCTCCAGAATCTTTTATGCATTGAAATGTATAAATCATTAAATACACTTTACAAATATTTGGGCTCAGTGGTACACAGATCTAGTCCATGGATGCCATAGACTGAAACACCAGCCTTGGGAGAAAATCAGTAATACCCTGAATTTCTCAAGGGCAAACCCAATTCCTTAGTTCTGGATGAACTCAGATAAAAAGAGCAGCTCCTGGGGAGAGCACTGAGAAAAGGAACATCTTGTTCCATGGTACAGAAACAGCATCTTAAATCAGCACCTTTCGATGTGCAGGGTCACAGGAGGAGCCACTGGGGACAGTCTGGGGACAGTCTCCTACTCCCATCCCACTTTCATCAGGAACTGGTGGAGAACATCACAGTGCTACAGTTGTGATCAGTCCTGAGGCAAGCACCCACTGTGAAACCACAGAACACAACGTTCATTTTTAAAGCTCTATGACCCAAGCAAAGTTATCTATTTGCCCTTCTCCACCTTAGAGGAGCAGGAGAGGCACAAATGAGAAAAAGCGGAATTTCTCTGCCTGAAACACAGAAACCCACGTGTTGGGGCAGTTTCTGAGAAATCAGACTGACACACAGCCTCTGAATCATCTGTGTTTGGCTGATTTTACTGCCCCTGCCCTGCACGAACCCACCCATGGACCAGCCCTGCCAACCCCTCCCTGCCAGGGAAACTCTTAATAAGAGGAACACAAAAAGTTTTCAGCTTGCTACTTTGAAAATTACAACCATCCTACAATTAAATGTCTGCCTGCATTTTAAATCAAACTGCATCCAGCTGTAAAACTACCATCAGGTTTGCTCTGCTCTGTCCTGGGCAGAGTAAAATTCCTTCAAATTGGGTGAAATCAATATTGTTTTTTTCACCAGTCTGAGCACCAGAATGGTTTCTGTAACAGAAATGCAATAGGGAGTTAACAAAATTAGGTTGGCCAAGATTGCAGTTTCCTCATCTATTATTTTTAATTAGAGCCTTGAGGAAAATGTTGGGGAACTGTATTATACCTTGAGAGCTGCCTTCTCATGTCTGGTGTTGAGTTAATGGCAGCCAAGCTATGGAAACACATCACTTCAGCTCTCTACCTCTGTTCTGTAAAATAGAGATAATAAATAGAGTTCCTTGGCCATATTAGGGTTTAATGACTTCTGTAAACTGCTGTGGAATAGCAGGCAACAACTACCTGGTATTTTCCATAACTGATTTGTCAGCACACAGGCTGTGCCTGCAGTTTGGTTTAAGGAAAGTGTCCAACAGCCTCACAGAGTCAAATAAACGTCTTAAGTTGACAGGAATCTTATCAGTGACGCCGTGTGGATGTGTTTCCTTCGGGGCCAGCCCTGAATCATTTGTGTTTATGGACAGGGTGGGGCCCAGCGGGTCTGTGAACGTGCCAAAGTCCTTTCAGGGCGTTGTGAAGTTTTCCCTGCATCGTTTGACTCCTTGCATGTGCTTCGTGCCATATATATGAAATCAGACCTTGTTTTGGGTCAGAGCTATTTATATTCAGTGGAGGAAGAGGAGGAATGTGGAAAAAGAACAGGTCCTTCCTGGGCATCTGATTCAGAGAAGCTCAAGATTTCTCTTAATGGATCATGACACTTTCCTGACCCGCACAGGGCTCTGCAGGCAGCCAGCTCTGCCTGTTTTATTGCACACATTCGAGGCCTTGTGCTGTCAGGCCACCCTCACCCTGTCCAGTTGCTCATTCACACGCTGTTTGCAGTGAAATAACAAAATAACTCCTCCTTTTGATTTGCTCCCCCTCTTAAAGCAGCCTCAGCACTGAGGAACAACTCAGCAAAACCAGCGAGACCCTAAAGCTTCAATTTAAATTTAAAATTAATTAATTAACTCAAAAGAGTTAATTGATTTTAACATTTAGCATTAGAAAGACTTAATTAATTTTAACATTCAACATTTAAACTCTCTTTAAATCGCCGCACCATCCAGCAGGACACCAGTTAACACACACCCCTAGAGGAGTTCTACCAATCCTGCCCCCAGCGCCCATCCCCGGCTGTCAAAACGCTCCGAATGTGCCTCGTCCGCATCCCTTACCTGCTGCAGGAATGGCCGGGGCTGGCTGGGCTTGTCAGCAGCCTCTGGCTTCTTGATTTGCTCCTGGGCACACGTCCCCTTTTGTACCAGCCCCAAAGCCGGAGCTCAGCGCTGCCGGTGGGAGCTTCCTGGCTCATCTGCTTTCTTTTCTCTCCATCTTTAATTAGCTGATTGTTCCACTTCCCTGTTCTGTGTGGAGCAGGGAACACGGGGTTGCAACACGGCCTTTCGCTAAAAATACGACTTTAAAAAAAAAAAAAAAAAAATCACCGAAGCACAAAAACGTGAATGAATGCGGTGGCTGTGCCAGTGCTGGAGATTTCCTGCAGGGTTTCTGCTTGGATGTTTGTGGTTATTCAGTGAGAAGCACCTCGCAGAGCAGGTACAAGTCTGGGGGAGGAGAGGGGAGAGGGGGGAGCAATGGCCAAAGCGCTGTCTATCAGCGAGAAAAGCTCTGATTTTAATAGTAGAGCCCAAAGTCGGGGTAATAACAAACCACTGCCTTCTCTCAGCTGCCCCTGCAGCACCACCGGGGCAGATGGGGGGCTGGGGGTCGGTGTCACCCTGCACGAGGTCCTGCAGATGGACAAACTGGGCTCGTCTTTACATTCCCCTGGAGGGAGGCAGCAGAGGTGGCACCCTCGTGCTCGGAGAAGGGGATGCTGCTGCAGGAAACGCCACAGCAGAGTTTCTGAGAATGTATCAGCGTGAAGAGGAATGGACTTGTAGAGGGGCCTGATGCAAGGAAATATTCCAGGAGGGGCAAAGGGACCTGCAAGTCGGTGCTGGCACAACGAGCCCTGGAGAGGCACAGACCTGGGCACCCCCTTCCCTAGCACGTAAATAAAGCTCAGTGGCGAAGCTTCCCTTCCAAAACGCTTCCTACCTGTCCTTACAACCTCCTGCCAGCGCACAGCAGCACGCAGCAAACTTTTGGCCTCTGGGAAGCTCTGCTGATCTACAAGTACATACCTGTTCTAGCACAGCCTGTGTTTTTAAGAGCCGAGAGAAGGAACCGGCTCCTACCCCCGAGCCTGAGGGACCTCCTGCACAAACCACTTGGGAGAAGAAACCTGTTGTGGGGGTGACGCGTTTCAGGGCGCAAACGCCCAGCCAGGGACGTAATTACCGTGTACAAAGGTTTTTTGGTCAGGGCAGCAGCTCGGAGTGCCCCGAGTGTCAGCGAGCAGCTATGCGGCAGAACAGGATGTCGGATTAAGGAGTCTCCGGCGAAACCCGTGCCGAGGACATCAGAGGACACCCGGCAGAGCAGGGAAGTGAGTGAGCTGGGTGGTACCAGCCCGCAGCCTCCCGGGTGCTGCCTGTGCTGGCTCAGAGAGCTCCGCACGCCACGACCCAGCGCTTTGGGGTCACAGCATGGAGGAGTTTTAGGGGCTCGGCAGCGCCCTGAGCCCAGCCCGGAGCAGCAGGGAAGATGCCGTGCGTGGGGGCGAGATGAATTTCTGTCGCCCCGGTGCTCCCGGCTGCAGGTGAGGGGCCGGGGATCGCTGTACCTGCAGAGCTCCCGCCCGCCCAGCACCCGCGCAGCCTCATCTCCGCCGGGGAGGAGGGTTAATGTGTAACCCGGCTCTGTTTGGTTAGCCCAGAAAAGCAAAGAAGTCCTGGGATAGGCACGGCCGGGACAAGGAATTGGGCAGCACGCAACGACGGACAGCCTGGTAAAAAAAAAAAAAAAAAAAAAAAGAAGAAAAAAAAAAGGAAAAATACAGATTAATAATAATAATTTATATTCCTTCTTGTCCTTTGCTTTCTGTGCTTTTCCTGCTCGATGGGCTGCGGGTTAAGGGGCTCAGCGTCTCTGCCTGGGTGGGATGGGGGGGTGCTCTGGGTGCCTGCAGGGCTTTGCTTTGGAAGGGTGAAATGTGGTGGAGGTGTCACCAGCAAAGCTGGTTTGAAGGTGGTGGTGGGAGGCAAGCTGGGGAGACCCCCAGCTGCTGGGGAAACTTGTGCTCAGGACAGCAAACAGCTCGGGCAGCTGCTGTGTGTGCTTAATTTACTTGTTTAAATAGGAGAAACTATAGATCTGCCACCATCCCCTTTCCCCCTGAGGTGGGATCCATCCTGCTGTGCTGCTCAGAGCAGGAGCAGCCGGGACGGTGCCTGCAAAGGGGGGGTTTTGCTTTCATTTGTGTTTCGGGCTGGCCAGGACAAAGCCAAGGCAGGAGGGGTACGGCTGCTCTGCCTCAGATGGCAAAACCACCGAGGTCCTTTAGCATTGCTGGAGAGCTGGGATAGGGAGTTTGGAGTGGTGCTGGCTAAAAGAAAGTAGCCTCTTCACATAAAGCAATTAGCATTAATTGCTACCCAGCACGTCTTTGATGTTTGAGGGCTCCGTGGGCTTTGCAAAGGACAGTTATGGCAGCGGCCACGGAGGCTGAGGGAAACTGGCTTTTTGTTTTAGATAAAAAATAGCTTCTTCCAATAGAATTTTTAGTGGGGGAAGAGCTACACAGCACTGAAAACCAGCTATAAAAAAGTTTTTCTAGAACCACGTCTTTAAAGGCTCGGTCGCATTTTTGGTTTGTGGCTGTTCCTCAGTGAAAAGGAGGAACTGTAAAATCCTTCTGAATCACGAAAACTGGGGGGGGGTTCAACACTGATTTTTTTTTTTTTCTCCCTTTCCTGAGTTGTGCATTGGAGCCATAATCGCATCAGAGAACTGGTGAGCAGGAAAATGAACTTCTTGTTTTGGTGCAGATCCTCTCCAGCGCCCGGTGAGCTCGGGGCTGAACTTTGCCTCCCCGAGAGCTGGGGCTCGGCGGGTGCCAAACCTTTGGCAGCTGCTTTAGGTCTCTACAAGTACTGTTTGAATGAGGGAAAATTAGTTCTTTAGTGGACTGAAGATGGTGGACATCCTCATGGAGAATTAGCTCTCTCCCACCCAGACACTGCTGGCCCCAGCCAGCTGCCAGCTCAAGTTAAAGCAAGACTTTCACTTCCCCAGAAGTGTTTTGCTCTTTCAGATTTGGGAGGGAGGCAGCGAGAGGCATTAAAACAATCATGGTCAAGCCTCTTGCTACTTAGAAGTAGATATAAATCTACAAATCTCTATATCTAATTGTGATATAAATCTAAATTTCACGTTGTGGGCGTTCAAGTGCACAGCAGAACTGTGCAGGAGCCTGAAGTCCCCTAAACTGAGCAGGTATCTGCTTCCTGACAGCTCAAAGCCCTGGCTATGAAGTGATCTGAATTCAAAGGATCCAGGGAATTGCTGTTTCAAAGCCACCACTTACTGCAACGTCATTTAAGCAGTAAATAATGCAAAGCCAAGACTGAAATATTAAACTCCTCCTGCATGGAAGGATTAGATCTGTCAGGGCGTGGGCGTCGAAATCTGATTTTTGTGGCGTATTCCAATTACAAAGGAATTCTTTCAGGGTCTAACGCTCGGAACAAGCAGCCAGTTCTGCTCACTTATCTCTGGATCTAATTCCCTGATCCTGCTACAGGCAAAAAAAAAAAAAAAAAAAAAAAAAAAAAGCAGCAGCAGTTTGTTCCTGTGGCCAGGTTACAGCACAAAGAGCTCCTCTGTCTCCCACCGAGAAAATCCTCTCGCGTGGGTCCCTGTGTGTGGCAGGGGGTGTTTGTTTTGCTGCTCCCATTCGCCCCCGCAGCCCCAGTTCCCTCCTGAAGAAGGGGGTGGTGCGTGTGAAGGAAACTAATTGGTGGTGCCAGGGAATTTTGGAAGCTTCCATGCTTTACATCCATAAGTAATTACACCTTCTGTGGGTGCTCGGCCCGTGCCCGCGGGCAGCAGAGCTCTCTGCAGGTATAACTGTCCCCTCTGCCACCCAGGACACTGCTCTGGGGTGGTTTCGGGGTTGGGACTCCAGTGCAGGGTGTTTGTCAGGCAGCTGCTGCCACATTGGGGTCCCTCTGGTGTTTGGGGTCTGGGCTGCATCCAGAAGAGCATCAGGGGGGCACTGAAGCAGAGAGGGGGACATGGGGTGCTCTTTGCAACCCCTCTGGGGCAGCTGCATGCCCTGATCCCTGCAAGCTGTGCCAGGTATTTGCCCAAACACACCCAGGCATGCCCTGAAGGTACAGGGGCACCTCCCTGAGGGCACCTCCCCATGGCTCCCCAAGGAAGGGTGGCAGAGGAAGCTCTTTGCCAGGAGGAAGCTCCTGACAGAGCAAGGCTGTGAGTAAACAGCAGCATTTCGGGTCAGCACGTTCAGAAGTTCAAGCTGCAGGGCTGGCAGAGGGTGTGGTGGAGGGAAGAGGTCCCATGAGCCAGGGCTGGGAGTTGAGCTGGGGCAGGATCTGTGCTGCTGAGCTCTGAGGCTGAGCTGGGCTTACACAGCTTTTTCCCTTGCCTAATCCACCCCTTGGAGATGATTAGAGACCCACCAACACGAGCTGGCCGTGGATGGGCTATTCCAGAGCTTATCCCATCTGGGGAAAACTTCAGTTCGAGGATGCTTTGAAACAGCCCAGCTGTGTCTTCTCCTGGAGAGAGCAGCCTAAGATGGAGCACATTTATACCCATCCAGCAGTTTCAGAGCCTCCCTCCAGCTGAGCCAGGGGGGAATCTCACAGCTTAATGCTTCTCCTTTCTCCTGCTCCAGCCGGGATACTGCCCCCGTGCCAGACGCCACGGCAGCCCAGGATATGCCAAGGAAGGAGCTGGGGATGGCTGGCTGCAACTCTGGCAGCTGTGACAGCATGGTCAGCACGGCCTCCAACCACTCACAGCGGGTAAGTCACCCTGGTGTGCCCAGCCTGGGCGTGGAGGGGCTCAACTCGCCCCTCTGGGCAGCTGAGGAAGGATTTTGGTCAGATCTCTGCTCCAAACCGCTCTCCATCGGTGCTTTGGAAGCACCTGGGGGCCCTGAGACAGCACCGTGCTCAGGGCAGCACAAGGACCAAATTAATCCCTGCCCCAGAGCACTCCCAGACTTCCCGTCCTGCCAGGGGTGCGGCAGCACTCGGGAACCTTCACTCCTGAAAGGTGTCCTCTGGGACATGACCCTGAGAGCCCAGTGGCTCCTGTGCTGCCTGGAGGTGCAGATGGAGGGCAGGAGGGGCCTGGCCATGCCCCAGTGAGGGATTAGACCAGTTGGATCACTGGGTCAGACTGGCTCCAGCAGGGGAGACAGGGAGCTGTGCTCCTCCCAGCTGCCGAGAGATTCATTTCCCAGTTAAGGCAGAGAGGAGTTTGGACCATGGGTGTAGATGTGTAATTTTTCACTATCTGTCCATTAAAGCTTGTTTGTCTCCCAAGACTGATTCCAAGATTGATGGACTAATTACATCCTGTCTGACTTGGAGCATAATTGATATGTGGAAGTGCAGCACTCAGTCCTGACAGGTTTTCCATTTGATGTATTGCAAACCAGAACCAAACCCTCTGAATTTAATAGGGATGGAAAAACTGGTTGTGATATTGCACATTAAAAGATTTGGATAAGTGTCTCTGCAAAACAGCTCCACCTGGGATAATTCCTCCTCTGTGTTTGTTGATCTAATGCACACTCCATCCTGTCCTGCACTTCATTTTTTTTCATGATACATTGCAGGAATCACCTTGCAACCTGGCATTTCCACAGCAATATCTGATATTATAATATCATATCTCCTGGTACTTGAAATACAACAAAAGTTAAACAGGGCCTTGCTGAGATATGAATGGGAGGACATGGAGAGTTCATCACCTGCACAGAAACCTTCAATATTTAGGATTTTTCTAAGGTTCAGCATTGCTGAGCAGGACAGGTGTCTTTACCAATAGATCACCCATGTCACCCCTCTGCTCATATTTCAGAGTAAATTAAAGAACTAAAAGATAGAGGCCAAGTTTTCAAGTTCTGAATAACCCATCTTGTGACACACAGAGTAGGGCAATACAAAAATGGCTTTAAGTATATATATACACATTTTTATTGTAGAAGAAGTTGTACATATATATATATATATTCCTATTTCAGAGGAAGTTGTCTATTTTTCACTGGTTGCAATACCAATTTTTGGAATAGCCACTGGCCCAAGTCTCCTGGCCAGGAGCTGTCACAGGCTGCCTCTTAACTACCAGGACATTAAACAGAAAACACCTCTGTCTCCTACCTTTACTACTTCATGTTCTTTTTTCCAGAGTGATAACAGCTATGACTATTTATCTGTGGAAGAGAAGGAGTGTTTGATGTTCTTAGAAGAAACCATTGGCTCACTGGATGCAGAAGCAGACAGTGGGGTCTCCACTGATGACACCGACT